TTCTTTCTTTCTTTCTTTCTTTCTCTTCCTCTCTCTCTCTTTCTTTTGTTCTTTCTTTCTTTTCTTCTTTCTTTCTTCCTTTATATATTTATGTTTCTTTTTTGAAAAAATATTTTTGAATGGAGAAAGAGAATTGCTGGACAACATCAACAATGTTCTATACTATGAGAAGCATGGCTCAGCAGCAACCTTCAAAAATCATCTAGAGTTGAGTCAAACGCCCAGTATACAAAGTAAAAAAAAAATATACATGAAGCATCTAATACCATAAACGTATGTGTGCACATGTGATTGTGTGTGTTGCTCATAAAGTGTTTATAACATGTTTGTAAATGTATTTATAGCAAATGATTATAATTGCTAACTGTGTTTTTAAAGTGAGGTTATGGAGCATTTGAGAACCTCTTTGTATATAATATGCAAGTGAGTAGGGTTTAAAATCATTTGTATATTAGAGCTCAATCATTTAAGTATTATGTATTATATAAATTGATAACATGTTTATTTTTCTGCTGTTTTATAAATATTTTACTTGCATTTACAGGTGTTTATAACTTACCTCCAATATGCATTGGGTATTTACTTATTGGCTTTATCATGAAGAAGTTCAAGATTACTGTTAAGAAGGCTGCATACATGGCATTCTGCCTATCCCTGTTTGAGTACCTTCTGTCTTTCTTTCACTTTATGATAACCTGTGATAATTTCCCAGTTGCTGGCTTAACTACCTCTTATGAAGGGTATGTTTTGGTTTGTTTGTTTGTTTTTACCAATGAACACTGTAGTATTTTCACAACTGCTAGTCCATTTTCTCCAAGGGTTATATATAATTGAATCATTTTTTTTTATAACTGAATGGCAGTGATCCATGGTTATCTTGTATTTTTCATCTACCCATCAATCCTATAGCATCCCCATACAAATTGTAAGTGTATAAAAAGGGTCTGGGGACTACCAGTGAGTAAGTTTATGATTCCACACACATATGGGTGATTTCTTAGTCTGCTTTAAAGTATAATAGAGAAAAATAAATCTGAAGCTTTTAGCCTAAGTTATTTATGTCTGTTGTACTCCCATAATGAGACAGCTTTAAAAGTAGTAAAGTGCTTGCTGTACAGGCAGGAAATCCCAATTTCAGGTCTCCACAACTCATGTAAAGCTTGACATGGTCAGGTATCTGCCTGGGGTCTGCCCTGGTCTTTTCAGGGATGGTACTGGGTTGGACACAGTGTTAAATGAAGGCCAGAAACTGACAATACTGGGGTTATTATCTTTTTTTAACTATTTATTTATTTATTTATTTATTTATTTATTTATTTATTTATTATATGTAAGTACACTGTAGCTGTCTTCAGACACCCCACAAGAGGGCATTGGATCTCATTGCAGATGGTTGTGAGCCACCATGTGGTTGCTGGGATTTGAACTCAGGACCTCTGGAAGAGCAGTCAGTGCTCTTAACCACTGAGCCATCTCACCAGCCCTTGGGGTTATTATCTTATTAGTTGTGCTTACATAAGCGCTGGTCTCTTACTCTGTAACTCTCTTACTATCTGTGCTGATAAGTACTGGTTTCCTTCCTCTCTGGCTCAAGGACCTCTCATTTGCCCAGCAAGAGGTTTGGAGCTCATTAACTCTTCCTGAACCAGAGAGAAAAGAAAGGAAAAGAAATAAAATCCCTTACAGGCATATATGCACAGGCACACATAGGCGCGCACACATGCGCATACACACACACACACACACACACACACACACACACACACACACACACACTTTGGTCAGGTCCACCCACTTGCCTCAGTCAACTGTACGAGTTTTTATGTATGCTTACACATAAACTTACACACATATGTATAGACAAACAGACCTATAAATATATACATTTGGTGCATTGGGCTGATGCTCAAACACCTCCCACATATATTTGGATAGAGAGATGGGTAGATAAGGGAGAGCTCTCCAAGCCAGCACTTTGTTTCTTTGCTCTGACCTTTTTATAGACCTAAGTTCTTAGAAAATTACCTCATAGATGAACTGTTATACAAAAGGGGAGTCACAGGAGGATTTTGATGTTAAGTTCAACACATTGTTTCATTATGTAAGCTCATTAAGTTCAAAGAAAGTTTCCCATGCTCTTGCTTTATTATAGTGTACACCCGTGGGTTCATCCATGGATCTGACCTAGAATGAATGTTTTTCTTTGATTATAAATTTGCCCCAAGTGTATTTCTCTTTTTAGTGTAATTGTGAAAGCTCACTGTATTCCTTACTATGTACCCCTTACTATTCTATGAGAAGGGGGCACATTTTATTCTTGATTCTAAATTTATTGTATCTTTCTGGCAAAACAACTAAAACCATTTCTTAAAACTTTCTTCCTAAAATTATTCATATCAAATCAGGTATTCTTTAAAATCATCAATTTATCTAAATATTATTAATTCATGAAAGTTCATCTTTATGTTGATCTGTAGGAAATTTGCTCAATAGGATGGATTAGTGTCCAGGAATCCTTAGGCTTTGTGACAGGAATGACATGTCAACAGTAAGAAGCAATTCTGTGATAAAGTCTCTTGGGACCTGCCTCTCAGGACCCACCCATAGAAGACCATGCGAAAAAACAGTGGGCCATCTCCAGAAAAGTCCCCTGGTAGCTTTTGCTTCTCTGAAATGGCTCCTCATGGATATCTGGAATCTCTGTGCTCCTCCTGTGATCTGAGTAACATAGTCAAAAAACTCTGATAGTTCATGGGCCTGCTTCTTGGGCTTTGGAACACTGGACAATGGGAGACTTTGTCTTAAACATGGTGGAAGTTTATCTTCTGATATCCAAATACACGTGAATGTACACATGTGCCTATGTGCCTACACACTCATACACACACACACACAACACACATACACATGAGAGAGAAGGGAGACAGAGAGAGAGAGAGAGAGAGATTAAAAGTAATATTTCTTACAAAACCTGTAAAAATTATGATTTAAATAATTTCAAACATAAAGTTATAAGAAATTGTATATTCATGTCTGATTTGAATCATGTGACCACTGCAAAAGACAACTTGTCTGCCAAGGATGTAGTATAGGGACTGCATGTTGATATTTGGATGTTTCTGTTTCTGCTCTGGGGGAAACACTAAATCTCCCTTTCTCTCTCTCTCTCTCTCTCTCTCTCTCTCTCTCTCTCTCTCTCCCTCTCTCTCTCTCCCCCCCCTTCCTGTGTATGTGTACGTATGCTTGCACATTCTGAGATAAAGAGGACAAAATAAAGTTCGTGAGTAGGTTTTTACGCATCTGTAACATTATTTCAAATAATTTCAGAATTCAGAACCCTCTACATCTGGAGAACAAGGTCCTTGCTGACTGCAACACAAGGTGTAGCTGCGTAACAAACACATGGGATCCAGTGTGTGGAGACAATGGCCTAGCATACATGTCAGCCTGCCTCGCGGGCTGTGAGAAGTCTGTTGGAACTGGAACCCACATGGTAAGAATCCTTTCAGTGGTAATTGGTAATTGTGTACTCCGTTAACATGTGCTATGATTTAAACCTATATCTGCTAGAAAGTACAAAGTAATCATGCTTAGCACAGATTAATACTTTTTTGGGACCAACTCAATTTATTCTGTATATGCAAACTAGATGTTATAATTTCTAGATATTACATAAATCCTTGACAGAGTCTGAACATTATTTTGTTATTTCAAAGCAGTTGAGATCATTGTTGAAGTTATCTGAATTAAAATGCTCTGGGTGGGTTAGAGAGATAGCTCTGGAGTAAAGAGCATTTGGTGCTCATTCAAAGGATATGTTTGGTTCCCAGCACCCACATGAGGCAGCTCACAACTCCAGTTCCAGGACATCGGTCACTTTCTTATGCCTCCCTCAGATATCCACACGTACCTGTTTGTATACACACAGATACAGAACCATATACATAGATTAACATTGAAGTTAAAGCTATAAATTACACTGGATAGAATCTGTTTTTGTTGTGATAATGTCCTAACTCAAAACTCTCCCAGCTGACTGCTTCACACTGTTTTTTCTCAGTTTCTCACTGAATTGCTCTGCCTGGCCTGAAACTAGCTCTGACAATTTGTTCAAATTTTATTTTATTTGACAGGTGTTTCAAAATTGCAGCTGCATTCGGTCATCAAGAAACTCATCTGCAGTCCTGGGGCTGTGTAACAAAGGCCCTGAGTGTGCTAACAAGTTGCAGTACTTCTTAATCATGTCAGTATTTCTCTGTTTCATCTACTCGATCACAGCCATACCTGGATACATGGTTCTTCTGAGGTAATAAGTAACTCATTTAATCATCTCTCTTTCCTTCTTTGTAGTGTGCTCATATGCAAGTGTATGATGTGACGTGTGTGTGTGTGTGTGCGTGCATTTGTATAAAAGTAACTTTCATTCACTAGATATAATTGTCTTCCTGAAGACTTACTGCTGAATAAACTCACACTTTCTAGTTGTTTGTAAACTCTGGCTGGCTTGTTCAGTTCAGCTGTTCTAGCTCAAAAGTCTCCCAGCTGACTGCTTCAAACTGGTTTTTCTCAGTTTCTCACTGAATTGCTCTGCTTGGCCTCAAACTAGCTCTGACAATTTGTTCAACTTCTGGCTCCTTTCTATTTTCTGCCTTATTCTGTCTTAACACGTGTCTAGCTTTTTCTCTCTGTAACCCATCTCTAGAAATCTGTCCTGGTAATACTGTCTTTTTTCTTTCTCTGTGCTGCTCTCTTAAGTCATCTCTCTTTCCCGTGCTGTTTTTGTGAGAGTTGGGTGTATCCTATCTCTGACTCATTCCGTCAAATCTTTCTCTGGTTTGTCACTTTGTCTGCTCTTCAATTAGATGTCACTTTCAAACATGGCTGCTTCCTTCTACAAACCAACATTACCATAAAGGTGTGTGCTAAGTGTGTGTTTGTACTCCAGCCAGAGGGATTAAGGATGTGTCATTCCAGCTGGATCACACAGACCTAGAAGGTCTTTGTGTATGATTTCTTGCCAGAGCAGCCATGTTGCTAAATTAAAATTCCAATGTGTGTGTGTGTGTGTGTGTGTGTGTGTGTGTGTGTATGCAGGCTCCCATGTGACACTACACTACAAACATTGGGAGGTCAGAAAGTTGGGGACTCAGTTCTCTCCTTTCATGTTGTTTTATAGGCAGGGTTTCTCTTATTATTTCTGCATCTGCCCTGTGTTTCCCTGTGTACTCCAACATACCTGGTCCTCAAGTTCCCAAGCAATTTTGCTGCTCCTCCGTTTTTGTTGTGGGAATGCTGAGATTATAGATGCATGACATTGAACTGGCCTTTTAATTTTAACATTTTGACATATATTCCTGGATTCTGTGGATGAAACTCAGGTCATCAAGCCTCTGTGGTAAGCACCTTTACCCACTAAGCAATGTACTGATGACATTTAGATTTTTTGGTAATTTATTAGACCTCTTTTTCCAAAAAAGGCCTTTAAAGTTATGGTGCCTAGAACTCCAATGTTCTAACATGCCTTTGTCAATACTTTTATACTAAGCACTGCTAAATTTAATGATAATTTCAAGTTTGCTGGCATTCTTCTTCTTGCTCTTTCCCGTTTTCACCCCTTATTAAGCCTATGAATGGACATCTCATTTTGACAGGTGGAGAGTAGTCGCCACTCAGCTAATTGACTGGCAGAGTGTGAAACACTTTGTGTAAAAGGACCAGGCTCTCTTGACATCCTGTGCTCATTCTGTCTTTAACAAGAAACATGAATCGAACAACAGATAATGAGGAGGTACTTGAACGCAATGAGAGATGTCCAATTCTAGCATAAACTGAGGAAATTGCAGAGCCAACTTTCAAAGTTTATTTTCTGAGCAGGTGTTCTTTCCAGTCTAGTGAACTTTACACCCACTGACAATGGGAAAACAGTTCAGCCTGCCTTTTTTTTTTTTTTGTCTCATTGGAATTCAGAAGCAAGTTGAGTTAATCATGATGGGTAACTCATTTATACATAAAATATTTGATCCTTGTAGAGTGGATCAAGTTTATCACTTCTCCCTTTCTCTGTGCTTTTCTGATTATTTGCCCACATTCTCTTTGCACCTCATTCTCCTCCTTTTCCAAATCTCTTTCTCTTTTCCTTCTCCATTGCTTTCCTCTTCTCCTCTCACACCTCTCTTCTCTTCTGTTCTCTTCTCTCCTCTCATTTCTTCCCTTCTCCTCTCCTTTCTTACCCCTTCCCCTCTGCCTCCAATTCTCTTCTCTTTCGTTCCCTCACCTTTGTTCTTCCTTTCCTCTGCTTTTACTCATCATACACACTCACTGGAATAGGCTACATATATGTCCTCACATATTTATTTTCCATTGTAAGATTTAATGTTCGTATATTTGCACAAATGTAGATTTGATATATGCCTTGTTTTAGTTCATATGTTCAAAGACAGATAACAGGCAAAGATTATTGCTAGTTCTTAAGATTTATTCATGCAAGTGTTGGACATTTGGCTGTGACTTCTATTACCTCATCATGTGCCAGGCAGATTCAGTTGATGTGGCTAAGTGATGTCTCTTTTCTTCTTACTATTCCAGATACCCCAGTTCCAAAGCTGCATGATTAGTTGATATGGGTGACTTTCCTCATAAAGGAGGAAGGCCATAGGTAAAGGGCGATGAGCACCTGAACTTCCCTGTTAGAACTTCCAAACATACTCTCAAGAGATGGTCTTATGTTTACCACATGCCTGTTTTCACTTCCATCCCTAACTCAGTTTCTCAATTATCTTACTTCTGATGTTTACTCTTCCACTGAGGGAAAAAAAAAACCGTGGCTCACTGATGTTTTAACGTATGATTATTTGAAATATTTTGTGTATACATGAGTGTGTGTGTGTTTGCTTGCATGGCACACTTTTGCATGCCATGCCATGAATGATGAAATGAGAAGACATCTCACAGGTAATGGTTCATCTTCCACCATGTTGGTTCTACACATTGAGTTCAGTTTGTCAGTCTCTATGCCAAGCAACTTTACCTACTGAGCCATCATGTAGGCCCTAACATAATAATTTCCTAATGTAACAAGGTTAAGGTGTATTCAAATTATTTTTTCTCACACTTCTTTGTTCATTCTTGCTGAATTTCAAGATTGCGATGTAAATTATGGATGATACAATATTACTGTTGACATGATAACATTAATTTTCTAGTCTATTGTGTTTTCTTCAACTATCTCATGGAATTACTTCCAAAAGTGAAATCCCAGCAATTACATATATTATGATTTTCTTATGCAAATGTGTATTTGGTGGGAAAAGACCACATTTTAATATAGCTTTTATATTCCTAATTTTTAAGAATTTTTTTAGTTTTTATCCTTACAGTTTTTTAGGATTTCACTTTGAATGAACTTCTCAAAACCACCTCAAATCTAATCTTGTAGGTAGCATAGGAAAGACAAATGTCTAAGTTTTTGACTCCATATAACAAAGTCATTTTCTAAAATGTCATAGACTACATGATTTTTGTTTATCTTTATGACTACCTTTACCATATCTTGAATTTTTATAAAATGTGTGTTTGCTTTTTTAACAACATGGCAACATGCCTAGCAAACAACTTAAGAGAAGAAAGATTTATTTGATTTGTGGTTTCAAAGGTTTTGAAACCATTATGACCATCCATTATGGTGGGTATGGCATGATGGTTGTCATGGAAACCAGGAAACTATTCATCTAGGTTAGCAGACAATTTCTAATTGTTAGAGATCTCAGCCCTTCTTTAGATTTGTGGAGGTCAGAGGACAGCTTTCAGAAATTCTTACTCTCCTTCTGTTTGAGAGTGGCAGAGGTAGAGCTGTATCAACATCACTTCAGGATAAAAAAGCTTAACCACTAGAATCAGAAACTACTACTGCCATTGGGAAGACGCTAGGGCAGATATAGATCTGCATGATGTAATTTTATGTATGTACATGTGTATGTATGTATGTATGTATGTATGTATGTATGTGTTTTTCAGGTGTATCAAGTCTGAAGAGAAGTCACTTGGAATTGGATTACATGCATTTTGCATAAGAGTATTTGGTATGAAGAATTTCCCTAACATATCAAATCAATATTAAATGCTTAGTAAATCAATTTGTTTTATATGAATAAGAAGATAGTAACTATCTTGTTAACCCAAAACACAACTCTCATCTTAAAGGGAATAAGGGTTTATTCTAGAATCATATGTGAGTGACCATTACTTGGGTCACAGATACAGGTCATCAAAATATCATGTTCCAACATGTGGGCAGTTTTGTGATGTTTGTAGCTAGAGAGCAAAGGAGTCCATGAACAAGGTATTTATTAAATATATCTGTGGGCACATCAGGTAGTTATATTACAGCAAAGCAAGGAGTTCTGTGCTGTAGGCTCAGATGCCATTTGATGGCATTCTTAGTGTTTGGGTTGGTGGAGACTATAGACCTCTTAAGTCAAGATCTTGAGGGGCAGAGGCAGGTGAATTTCTGAGTTCGAGGCCAGCCTGGTCTACAGAGTGAGTTCCAGGACAGCCAGGGCTACACAGAGAAACCCTGTCTCGAAAAACCAAAAAAAAAAAAAAAAAAAAAGATCTTTTCAAAGGCTTCATGTGATAGTCATCTGAATGAGATCAGACACAGGGGTGGGGCAATGCATATTTGCCAAAAGCGGTAGAGATAACTTGTCTCTCGATCTGCAATATCCCAAGTATCCACACTGAGGAAGTTTCATGACCTTGTGACATCTTTAACATAGGTATGCTATCCTCACTTTACACCGAACTTCAGTTTACAAGCCTTTGTGCTTAGAACTGGCTACGTGTAATCAGTCTGAGAATGAAGTAACTGCAGAAATGAAAAATGTTTTCCCTTGTCTTTAAGGAATTTACTTGAAGTTAATTACTCATTTAATCTTCTAGAAGAGTAAAAATAAAATGGGAAGTGAATGGTTATATTTGTTGGATGTACAGAAAATTAATAGAAGACATTTCAGAAAATAAATAATGTTCATGATTAGGAACTAAATGAATGATTTCTTTGAACCTTATACATAGTTTTCATTTTCTGTTATGTTTATATTAACATAATTTCTAAAACTAAGTTTAGAGTATATATATATGTATATATATTTACATATATATATAATTTCAATATATAGTCCAGTATATGTACATACATATGTAGTTCCAAATAAAATAACATATCCTTCTCTTTTCTTTCTTCCTGTCAATGAGCTGATTTTCTTTCTTTCCTCATTGCAGCTGGCATTCCTGCACCTATTTACTTTGGAGCTTTGATAGACAGGACCTGTTTACATTGGGGAACTCTGAAATGTGGTGAGCCAGGGGCCTGCAGGATGTATGATATAAACAGCTTCAGGTAAAGATATCTTTTGAGACCTAATCTTGTAGTGCATAAAATATCTCCATTCATGTTTAACATTCTCTTGAGTGACAAGATTTCATTTAAGCTTCACTTTCAGAATTGCACGCGGACAGTATAACACACATTTTAATATCTTCCCATTATTTTTAAAGTGCTTAATACATTTAAACTTCAGTGGGTTTCCTATCCTGACCCTTGGAATTTAGAAAAGGAACAGATGTTCTGCCCAGAGGCCCTGGAGCAGGACGGCAGAGCTGCATCTTGAGCCAAGCTATCATGGTGGAACACTAGAGGTAAACAAGACAGCAAGATAGAGACCTGGAACAAGGGCATACTATGTGAGAACAAATATCTCATTTCCTACAACCCCATATTTATAGACAGAGAGGAGGGACTCTGCCCTTCTGCAGCACTTAGGATGACTGAGTCCCAGGACATTCAGGAAGCATGGATTCTGGCATTCTAGGTCTTGGAAATTTCAGAGACCTCTCATGCTTGCAGCCTGAATAGATGAGAAACCCATGGGCTATCTTGAAACGAAACCTGCTATATACATTTTACTACTGGTGTCATCTCTGAGAACCTGTAGATGCCCCACTGTAGTTTTAGTATTTAGTGGCCTTGTGAATACGAATTGATTCAGTTGAGGGGTGACACAAACTCACTGAGAGTGTCGATAAAGCAGAGGATGGTGCCACACATAGAAATAACTTGAGCTGTTACCCTCAAGAACCAGGAAACCAGAGAGCTGGCCCTCTGAGATTCAGATGCATAAAGTTGTGTGTAGTGTCATGCTGCTGCTTGGGGTAAAATTATCTACATGGTGTTAATGGTAGAGGATGCATGGCTGCCTAGTATGAAGTAATGATAAAAAAGACATGGGAGTAGAGTGGGAGGACTTCGGTCTCATTACATGCTCCTTTATAAAGTACTGAACGCTTAAAGCCCAGCACACAGCACTCACACTCATAATGAAAACTAATCATCAGCTAAATCTTTCTGAAAACATACTCGTAGACACATCTAGAGATGTATTTCTATAATGACCACAAATCCATTCAGGATGGCAATGGAAACTAGCAATCATCAAAATTAAGGAAATACATTTAAACTTTTTTTTTTTCACCCTGCAAAATATTCTTCCATTTTATTCTGTTGAGCCATGACACAGGATTTTCTGAACAGTTTTGCAGTGCCCTTGCCATCTTATCAGGAAGGAGTACCACTGAGTGTTTCCCTCTTTGTGAGTTTTGCTCTCAGCTTGAACTCTGAAAATTCCAAAGGCTGCTCTTTTCTTTTTTTCTTTTTCTTTTTTTTATAGGATAATTTATTCATTTAGATTTCAGATGCCTTCCCCTTTCCCCATTTCCCTTCCCTAGAAACCTCCTATCCCATCCTCCCTCCTCCTTTTTGCTTTTATACCATTTTAATTACATGCAAACATTAAGGTCAGTTCTAGGTTGAGGAACTAGCAATACAATAGATGCGAATAGTCAAGGAACAAGCAAGGCAATAAACAAAGTTCCACGAACACTCCCGTGATCACTGTTTCTAAGGGTTTATCAGGATGACCAAAGTATCTGAGCCAACTTCCCTGTCCTAAAGTCATTTGCATGCCTGAAATCTACTTCCTTGTTCTAGCCTAATATTTAGATTTCTGCCTGAAATTACTTCTTTGTTCTAGCCTAATGTCAGATTCCTATCTGAAGCACACTTCTTTGTCCTTGGCCAATGTCATATTCCTGCCAAGCAGCCCACTTCCTTGTCCTTGGCCCATGTCAGATTCTTGTCAAGTAGTCCCATTTAAACTTTTATGGTGGATTTTTTGACATTAAAAACAATCATAATTAATAACTCAGCAAAGCAGATCACATAAAGTACATGGGAAAGATAACCACCTAATGTTTTTCTTTGAAGAATAAAGGGTTTGTAACAATATACAAAATTAGCTTTCACTAAACACGTTAAGATTTAATACAGATTAGTTCTTTTCAATAGGCGAATTTACCTAGTGTTGCCTGCAGCGCTGAGAGGATCAAGCTATCTTCCTGCATTCTTCATTCTAATACTTATGAGGAAATTTCAATTCCCTGGGGAAATCAACTCTTCAGAAATTGAACTTGCAGACACGACGCTCACAGTGAAGAAAAGCAAGTGTACAGATGTGCACAAAAGTCCAAAGATCGAGAATGGTCCTAAGATCGAGAATGACGGAGAACTAAAGACTAAGCTGTAATATGTTTTCTACTGTCCTGTGCTAGGTCATGAACAGAATGTATACTTGACTAGTTTTGAATCACAAGATGTACCATAGCAACTCTTTTCTTAAAGTAAATCAGGGCATGATGCAGTGTAAGATATTCTCAAAAGGCCACTGACTCATCCTCAGGCGGCCTCCTATGCTCAGTGTCCATTTTACTTATGTGTCCTCAGAACACATGGCTACTAACTTTCAAGATCAGCTTAGAGTCAAATCTCTAAAAGGGGACCAGCTAAGTGGCTCAGTAGAGAGGCATGCTCTCTACCAAGCCTGATAAGGTGGATTTGATCCTCGGGACCAACATGGTAGAAGGACAGAACCAACTACTCTTTCAGGTTGTCCTTTTCCCTCTATGTCTGCACTGTGGTGTACATATCCCACTCCAAACAAACAAACAAATAAAAAATTTAGAAAGTATTAAAGAATGATGTTTGCTACAAAACTTGGATAAATAAAATTCAAGATAATCATTAAAAACAAAATCAAGATGTGGTTTGAATGAGAAGTGTCTCTCCTAGGCTCAGGCAATAAGACATTTGGCTTCCTGTTGATGCTGCTTGGGGAGAATTAGGAGATACATGTTTTTTTTTTGGAGGAAGTGTATCACTTGGATGGCTTTGAGAATTAAAAGCCTCACTCTTCTTCCATCTCATTCTCTGTTGCATACTTTGGTTGAGGATATGAAAGCTCAGCTTCCGGCTCCAGTCACCATGCCCGCTGCCTGCTGTCATGCCTTCTTGCTGTGAGGGACTCAGTCCCTCTGGAATCATAAGCCAAATAGACACCGCTATAGGTGGCCTTGCGGTGTTTTTCCACAGCAGTAGAAAAGTAATTGATACAGAAGTCATGTTATTTTGTGGCTGATAAAGAACGTCAAGATTTTAAAGAACAACAGGGCTTTTTGTCTAGACTGCCAAGTGGGTACATGTTGATGATGAGGCAGAATTGGCTCCATCCCTTACCTGAGAATCATGGGAGAGCTGGCTTTGGGAATGTGAGATTAATAGAGGTGAACCTGGCCCTAGCCAGCTGCAGTACTCAGGAGAGCTGGCCCTGTATATTGTGGGTGAGCTGGCTCCGAGGATATGAGATTGGAAGATCTAGCCCTGCCACTTGTCTCTCCTGTGGGGGGGTATGGACAAGGGAGAAATACCCTGCTCTGTGCTTCTCACCATCTGTGGCAGGTTGGAGACCTGGTTCTGGGATCATGAGAGCAGGAGAGCTGTCACTGTCCCTTACCAGCTGCAGTACTTGGGAGCACAGGCCCTACGCAGGACAGTAGAGTTGATTCTGGGGTTGGGGTGTGGCTTGGGCAAGAGGAAGTTGGATTCTCGCCCTCCCCCACCCCCCACTCATCTGCTCTTTGGTGACATGAACAAGGGAGAGATGCTCCCCCCCCACCCCTTGCTACCTACAGCAGGCAGGAGAGCTGGCCCTGAGGTCATCCAAATTGAATAGCTGGCCTTGTCCTTCTTCACCTGCTGTGGCACTTAGGAGAGCAGGCCCAGCATCAGGGTAGAGCTGGTCCTGTTTGCAGTAAGTAGGCCCTGAAGTTGTAAGAGCAGGAGACAAATCCAGATACTTCTCAGGCCCAGATCCAGGGTTGTGAATTGGCCCACCCCGACATCTACACAATCAATGAACTGGAATGAATGAAGTGACTGGTCCTACATATCCAAAATCACAGGATCTCCATGATGCAGAGAAACAACTGTATATCTGAGATGAGTCTCAGTGAGGTTCCAGTATTGATTAAGTTACAGAAGCCAGAGGCCTACTAACCAGAGCAATGAACATTTGCAAATAAAAAGTGTGGATGAAATTAGACTATAGGGGCCCAATGTGACACACTACACCTTCCATAACAAGATTTTCTTTTATTCTTTGTTGAAGGAGAGGTTGCCAGAGTGGAGGGAGGGTACAAGGAGAGGAGGAGATGAGTAGGGTTGGGGTACATGATATGAAATTCACAAAGACTCAATAAAAAGTTAAAAAATAATGGTAAAAGAATCCCTAAATATGGGGAGGGTGAAGGAAGGAAAGGTGAGGGTGGATGTCAATATACTATGGTTATTTACGGACTGTTAAGTGGGAATAATCTACAGGCTAGGGTAGATTGAAGGAGGGTACAATCTCAACATTGTGGGAACCGGAACGTTTGTATGTGAGCTAGGTCGACAGCTTTCTGTTAATTAAACTGAAGCCAACCTATTTTCAAAGAAAGACAAGCTTATATTGTTCATGCTTCCAGAGGTCTCAGGCCATGAACAGTTAGGCCTGCTGTTTTGAGCCTGTGTCTATGCAGCACATTGGAGGAGAAACTCATAAGAAGAAAGCTGCTAGCCTCACATTGGCCTAGAAGTAAGTAGAGGGGCATTGGAGGACCCAGAAGCCTAGTAACTCTTCCAAGAGCTTATCATCATTGACCCAAATTCTCCCTCTAGACTCCCACCTCTTATTTATTTATTTATTTATTTATTTATTTATTTATTTATTTAAATCAAAGTGTAATTTTTACTCATTCACACAGGGGTTATAAACACAAAAAGACAGGACGTGGGGAAGGGGATGACACTAGAGCGTGTGTGTTCAAAGGGAATACAGATATCTTTCAGAACAGGGTATCGGCTGGACACCCACCTCTTAATGCTTCCACCACCTTCCAATGGCGTCTTGCTGAAGACTAAGATTTTTAACACAGGAGCCATTGGTGACTGTCCTAACCTAAACCCACAGTAAATAGAAAGTAGTGTAACTAAGGAGCTTTCTGCAGTTATCTTCAAGGTTGTTATGATTTACTGAATTAGTGTGTATTATAAAAGAAAATTTTGATGGGGGTGGAGAGATGGCTAAGAAGTTATGAGCATGTGCTGCTCTTGCTCAGGTCCTGAGTTTCATTCCCTGCCTCACACCAAGATTCTCACAACCACCTGTGACCTCAACTCTGGGTGGTCTGATGCTTCTTAACTTCCAAGTACCTGTGATCACATGCATATGTCTAGTGCCTGAGACTTACTCCTTAGGAAGGAGGTCATCTTCCATTCTAAGAACACATGTCTTTTCTTGATACTTCTTACTGGGGAAAGCAGTCCCAAAACAGGCACTGGTGTGTTTGGGGATTTCCTTGTGGTGTCCCTGAGATCTGGGAAGGTGAGGTATTATTCTGAGCTTTATATATAATAGCTAGAGACAATGTTTTCTTATTCAGATATGCTATAGATAGACACACTATAAACATGTGGTCTTCAAAAACCTCAAAGATCTACAAAAAATGGTGTCTGAAGATGTTCTATTAATAAAAGATCTTTTTGAACAATGAGCCAGGTCTCCTGGCAGCTCTACTGTTCTACTTCAGCAAAGATCATGAGCATTGAAGAATTTCCTTATGGTGTTTGCTTCAAATGTGTCAAGCTTCCCAGGCAGAAGGTCAAAAAGTCTTTCAAATTTCCTGCTTCATAGAAAAGTCTGTCAGATATCTTGGGCCAGAATGCTGAATATGGGTGCTCCAACTATGCAGAGAAAACTTAGGTAACTGTCTAGCAGCCAGCTGCCTCTGTTATTTCTATAGTTTTGAAGATGCTTAGCTAAGCTTCCTGCACATTTGGATAATAATTATTTATTCCTTTTCAGTTATCTGATGGGGTCAGAGACTTAATCTCACATTAAGCTAAAGTTGTTTAGGATTTAGGAAAATGGTTTAAGGCTGAAGAAGATGTTTTTAGGTTGTTGATGCAGGTTATTACAGAAACTGAATTTAGGTACAGAACTTTGAACTCACAAAGATAGGATAAATAATAGAATACTTTCTGCAAGGTTGCCAAATATATATGGAGTGGGGATTGTGAAGATGTGTCAAAGAATGTCCTGGAATGTGCTGTGTTTAATGATGTTTTATACTATATTTGGATGACATTCTGAGACAGAAGAACTCATGGCAAGACTGTGTCCCTATGGGCAACCTCTAAGTAACTCCTCCTCAAAACACTGAAAATTCCTGGTCATCAGCTGAAAACACGGGAAGGAGGGGTACAAAAGGAAGTCCATAAGCCCTAGTTAGCACAATGCCGTAATGACTGCTAAGGGGACCACAGTAATGGGCCTGCTAGAAGCTTCTATATTGCTTACACCCAGCAGGGTTCCTTGCACTGCTCTGGAATACACAACCATAGACCACCTTTTAAAACAATATTTGATTTTTAGATTTTTGAATCTAAATGAGAAGCAGTATGTTTGAAAGAACTATCCAATACAAGGGTTTTTCACAGTAAGAATAACGGGAGCCTACTGACAGCCTTCTTTTCTGTAATTATTGGACAAGTATCAGAGTTAGAAATAAAGACTATCAAACTGTTGAATAGTAGTAACAAAAATGTAAGGAACTGGAACAATGAACAACTCTTTACAAGACTTGTAGTCTTGTAAAGAAAACTATTTAATTGTGGCTGACTTACAGTTAAGAGATTTAGTTTATTATTGGTATGGATGGAAGCAGGGCAGCATGTAGGTAGACATTGTGCTGGAGAAGAAACAGTGTGTACTACATCTGGATCAGCAGGCAGCAAACAGAGAGAGTCTCAGAGTCTGGTTTGCCCACTTGAAACCTCAAAGTCCAACCTTCATGACATACATATTTCAACATGGCCATATGTACACCAACAAGGTTACATCTTCTAATCTTGCCATTTATTATGAGCCTATGAGGACCAGTTTACTCTTCCACATTTTCCTAGACAGTCTGTGAAATGCAATCAAGTGAGGTAAATGGGAGATATGATTATATAGTTCCTGATCCCTGGGAAATTCCATAGACTCAATCTCATAATTAAACATTTTATTCATTACTGCTAGCAGGACAGTAGACTCTGTCGAAAACCTCAGATTGACCTTGATAAAGGTGGTGAGGTAAGGTTTTTTTTTTTTTTCCATAAGGTAAAAATGGCAAGAAGACCTTGAGTATTTGCCCAAGTAAGCCATGAGATGTTTGGCTCTGCCAAAATTAGGTAACCAGTGTAATCTAAATGCCTGTTAGAAGCAGGTTACCAATGACAAATGAGCAGTTAGTCATAACATAATAAGTAGATGGTTATGGGAGTACATTTATGGCTGTGTGGTAGTTCCTGAGTCAGGGTTACTGGAAATTTATCTTCTAGGAACTGGAGTCAGAGACAAATGGCAAGTAGGTTCAAAGAGATATGTCTAGCATACAATGTTTCTTTTTAAATCTTTATTTAAAAGATACCACATTCACCAGTGGCTTTAGATTATTTGAACAAAATAATTTATACATATTAATGTAGGGCTAATGATTGATATCTTAATTGTGTTGAATATATACATGTATATGTGTGTGTGTATATATATGACAGATATATTTTTAATACAACAAGAGCCACCTTCAAGTTTATGTTTAGAAGACAAC